GACTCAGAGATTTTCGATCACAATCGGAGATAACCACAGGACAGGATATCCTGTCGTCCTGGTGCTCTGTCCTGTCCTGCAGGGCAGGACGCAATTTTTATTTTGGTCCTGTACTGCCGCCTGCCAGGACAAGAAACTTACCAGGACAGGGCAGGGCAGGGCGAAAAATCTCGTCCTGTGCACGTCTCTGATACGCATTAGAAATATCGAGGATATAGATAAGCCTGAATTTAAAGTTGAACTCTTTCTTGTCGAATAAACTGTTGGATTAGTATCTGAAAATTAAGCAGTAAAATGCGTCACTTGAACGTTCATTTATAGTTTTAATATAGAAATCACCAATTGACCGTGATTAATCGCTGAGTCTTGCAATATTTATTATGATTGATAATTTACACAAAGTCAATTTTTATTATATGATTTTTCTGTAATAAATTAGATTTCTATTGAGAATTCTCTTCAGTAGTCGATTCAACAAGAAAAATAGAGCATTTCGATCATTGGATCTAATCGCTAGACTTCTACTTATAATATCCTACTATTTTCTCAAGTTTTCCGACCGGAAACCATATTTTTCTGTCATAAACGTGCCGGAAACGGAGAGTTGGAATGTTGAAATCATTGATAACGTTACGACTTTGCCAGAAAGTTCTATCTAATTTGACTGATCGAAAATGTCATGTATTATTTTCCTCAACGATGGTCACCTTCTTTCATTTCTCAAATATGAATCGGAAGCTTGTTAAGTTAATATATAGGATGGATGAATAAATTTTAAAAAAGTATTTTAATACATTTGTTGAAGTATTTTTCATAAGTAAATTGCGTATTACTGAAAATTTCAATTTTTCCTTTAAAATAAGAATCAGTGAGTACAGAATTAGAGTTAAAGTACAAAACAGGAAATGAAAACTACACTTGAAAAGAAAATCTATAGAAATATAGTAATTAATGCAAGTATATAGATTATCGTCGAACTTTCGAATAGTATATTTTATTGCATATGATAAAATTAGGTATTTTATATCTATATAGAGCACCATCTGTTGCACTTAAGATACTATTAACCAATAAGCAGTTGTCTTCATAGAAGGTGACTCATTCACGTTGTTCGAGACAAAAGCTATGTTGGACAAGCTAGTCAGCTCTCAGTATATAAGCCCAGGAAAAAACACAAGCAAATAGTACAAATGATTCTTCAATATTTGATTTACAAACAGCGATCGATCTCTTGGTGCTTTCCGTCGATTTTGCAAATTTTCTTCTAGATTTTTATTATTTATCTTTTCAATAGAAGAATGACTTCAAGGTGTGATTAAAGTCTTTAACTGATATATTTCAATCGTTTCCTTTTTTTAATTTCTCAAAAATAAAATGTGAGATAATTTTTAATTTATTTCATTAGACTCGATCGACTTTTGACATTATTGAATACTGGAGATTCGTTAGCAGTAAAACGAACAGCTGCAACACAAATTGGCCAAGTTGTTAGTACAAATCCAAAAGAAGTCGAACCTATTCTTAATAAAGTAACTTAAAGATGTTGACTTATTTTTCTCAACGTTGATTTTATTTGTGCTTAAGCTTAAAAAATATGTTATTCATTCATCGTGGGATGTTCGTATTGCGTGTGGTTTAGCCATCGAACTTATTAGTAAAAATATATCCGATGAATTTTCTGGTATAAGATTTTTTTCAAGAAATTTTCATGTTGAAAATAATAATGATCTCTCATAGTTCTATTTAATTCAAATTCACGATATGGACTAAAATTAAATTCATTTAATTTCCATAATGTTATTACGAATAGTGCATCATGTTATCTTGGAGCACGTAAAATTGAAGAAATAGGCGATTATGGTTCGTGAATATTTTGAGCTTTTGCCTTTTGTTTAACATTCATTTTTTTCGATATGTCAGATGGCAATGTATCTGTACAAAAGAAATTCGTTCGTAAAGAATTCAATTTTGGTTTACAAGAACGTTTTACTGGTACAGATTTGCCAGTAGAAGAAAATGATTTTAAAATTGAATCATTAAGTAGCGGTAGTTCAAATGTGAAATGTGTATGTTAAAATTTTCTTTTTGTTTTGAATTTTAAATTTTCTTTTTGTTTAAATAAAGGTTTCATCCAGTGATTTACAACGGTTTTTGTTCGGTGACCAATATGCAATTCTTGAACAAGATTATTCACAGGAATCAACATATGCAAAAAGATTAAAAGTATCTAATACGAACGAAGAAAATGAAGAGGTATAAGCAATAATATTTTACTAAATCAGTGAATCTATTATTCAAATGATTAGAAAAGCTACTCAAACATTTCGTTCACTCTTAAAAAACACGATTTCGACTTAAAATCATGTAAACCACACAAAATTCCTAAACTTCAACATCTAAACAAGGCTTTTGACTAACACGAAATAAAAATAGGACGCTCTGTTATTCAACAATATCTGTAGATCTACATTGGAAACGCTTTCTTTTGTTTCATGTTTAAAAGAGAAAGTTAGGTTATAGTACATGAGGGAACTGCTACTTTTTCATGTTCTGTGTTTACTCAAAAATATAAATTCCCCATACTCTGAATTCTGATCTACTCATTCAACAAAACAAAATAATTATTGACTAGAATAATAAAGATTTTTGAAAAACCAGATATTTTTCAAGTAAATATCGTGCCATTTTTGAAAAAATAAGTCTGTTGTACACACTCAAGAATGAATCTTTCAATACGATTGATTGTTTTAAAAATTCTCTATGATCCTAAACTTCTACTTATGAAATAAAATCAAGTGCATAGACTAATATCGAATTGATGCTACCGAGCTTAGAAATCACCTTTTAGAAATTGAAAAAGTCTTATTAAAGCATCGATACAATTTAATTTTTAAGTTTTTAATCATGAGATTGACTATTCAATGCGAAATTTCTATTTTATTATCACTAATCATATGTTGAAGTTATCGAAGGAAAAGCTTGAGAGTATTAAGCTTTAAAATTCTTACTTTTTCTTAGTATTATTCGTTTCTTATCTTGTCATCACAACTAGATAGGTGTCAAATCAGGGTTAATAGAATTTTTTTTGACTTTTTCTCTAAAAAAAAATCGGCGAATACTGCGATGGAAAAAGACAACCACCTGCTATCCGTTTTTCAAAATTCTCACTATCAGTCATGAAAGGTAACAAAACAATTGCTCGTGCAAAATAAAATGGAAATATTGGTTTTTGTTCTACATACTATTCATGTCGTGTGGTACATAAGATGTTTTCGGGCTTTATCACAGCGAAAAAGTAAATTTGGAAAGAAAATAGATCGTCAATATTCTTTAATTTGTCGTTTAAGGAAAAAAGATTTCACATATGATAATACATAATTTTCAAAATATTTTAAAATCTATTGCTAGAAGAATTTCAGTTTTATACGAGAAATTAAAATGTTTTCTGAAAATACACAGCAGCCCATTTGATGCTCTCTTTTATCTAATACAAATTTGAACGAATATCGTTATAGACGTTTAAAATGTAGGATACGTAATCTTGGAGGTAGCTTAATTAAACTAGCAAACTTGAATGATTTGAAGGACAAATATAATAGCACTTCTTATTTCAACTGTTTTATAGATAAATAATTTGTATTTCTTTTTGATTCTAGAATCGATTGTCTTGGCCTTTAAATGATTTTTATGATTGGCTAGTTGAGCAAATTTTTCAACCATTATGGGAATATCGACATGGATCAGTTACTGTTCTTCGAGATCTTTTAAAAGGACAACAATCGTTAACTATCTCGGTTTGTTTAAACGGATTATTTTTTCTAGTTTCCATAAATGAATCTCTATTCATTTAGAATGAATGCTATTATGAATGGCTTGAAGATTTAAGTGTTCGTTTATTAACATTAATTATTCTTGATCGTTTTGCTGATTATGTTTCCGATGAAGTAAGTTATATTTAGTGTTAAAAAGAATTTTGCTTTTATTTATTTCAAATTCCCGTAATCTCTTTAAGACACTTTTTTCGAATACAATTATGATCAGGTTTTAGCTCATTGTCTTGATAGATTTTACATACGTCAAGACATTTACGAAATTCATACGATTCTAAAATAGAAAATACAAACGAAATAAAAAAAAAAGATAGATTAAAATCAGAAAAGAATTACCTTGATCGTGAGCATGATGATGTTCATGTACTTCAAGATTTAATGGAAAATGTTCTGTTTCAGCTTTTATTTCATCAGATAGAATTGTTATATTTGTTTCATTTTTCTTATCAATTATTGATGGTTTAACCGGTATCATTTTAGTAAAGTTTCTATGAAAACGTGTATGATTAAATATCATCATAGTTGCTGTTAAATTATTTAACTTTTGAAATGGTCCAATAATGATTGTTTTACCATCCTTACTATCTTTTACTTGACGATATGGTATATGTCGTTGTTTTAATTGAATTTCAAGTAAATCTAATTGTTTTTCAGTAGCAAATGTTTCAATTAATGAATTCTGTACACGTATTCGTACATGTAGAATTGGTGTCGATGTTGGTGGTACTGTTCGATTGATTTCTGTAGTGTCTATTGTTGTTGTCGTAGGAAAAGTTATTGTTACTGTTGATGCTGTTGTAATGTTCGAGATATCATCATCTGTGATTGTTGTTGCCGATGGAATGACTAGAGATGATGATCAATCTGTGCCTGAATGATTATGATGACTTGAAAATAAGTTTTTAAGATTCTCACCCATCGATAGACAATGATTGTTCGTTGAAAAACCAAGACATATAATTATGACGGCAATAACACGAGTCACAGCCATTTGTTGATAGTTCATACGAACAAATGGTTGCGACGTCGACGATATATTACTCTATAACTTTCACCTTCATCTTTGTTTATATGTATGTTATCTATCGTATAGTTTCCATATATTATCCATCTTGGAAAGATATATTATTTATATTATAGAGAAAATGAAGATGAAAAAGAACTGACAAAAAGAAAGATTTGTTTATTTATATATGTTATGTTTGTATATATTAACTATCTAGCCTTCTGATGTAAGCACATTTCAACACAGAAAGAATTATGTTTTCTGTGGTCTGCTAGGGACATATATAGATAAAAACGTGTTTCATGATGACCTCTATTTCTCCATCTTTCTCTCTCTCTCTCTCTCTCTCTCTATCTCTCTCTATCTATCTATCTGAATATATATTCTTTAAGGAGGAATACAAAATATTCGAAAATTATGAATTCTAGAAGAAGAATGAGAAAACTAAATTGGCAATATTAATGTGTTGAATTTCACGATGGTTTGTTTAGTGAAAAAATGTTGCGTAAACAATGTATTTGTTTCATCTGCTGACTTCAGAGATGAAGCATCTGTTCCTACGACGATGGATTCCATTTGATATCGGAAATGTGAGATTGATGTTTTTTATGTGGCTACCGATTTGAAAGAATCAATTACTTAGCTAATACATTAAAAATCTAATATTTACTTATGATCGATGAAAATAAACAGCTAAGTGTGAAGTTTGAAGGATTCTGAAGATTTATTTATACCATCGGATATTAATCTATTCATAGCATATGATACATGTAAAATGTACCAAAAGAAATACACAATAAATGCAATATCAGCCTTCAATTTCATCTGTTATTTCATCCTCAATGTCGTTCTCGCACTCAAACTTGATTGGTTACCTACGCTAAACATGATTCGCTCCATTGAATGATAAGATATATAACAGGGCTCATAGAAAAAGTCTGGAAACTGCTGAACTAACATAATAGTGGATGAATAAAAACTGACTCTCATTCTTCTTGAACAGAGACAATACCTCTCAGTTCACAAATAACTATATGATCATTCATCTGAAAAAATACTTATTTTTTTCGTTTAATCTATGCTATTGACATTTAATTCATGGTATAAAATTTCCTGCTGTGGAAGAAATGCAATTTTTACCGCAAAGTAAACAGCAGAACTCATTATACTAATCTATGTAGAATACAATGAATCAAATTATTGAATAATTATAAGCCCAGAAATATATACATATTACAAAATGAACAATATTCCATTTTGTTTTCACCAGAGAAATCTAATTTAACAAAAAGTGAAACAGTGAAAATGTTTTTCTACAAAAAAATTCATATCAGCAGTGAGTTCGACATGTTTTTTCATTGATCCACATGTGAAGACAAGCTCATTACAAAGTTTCTTATTTGAAATGAATCATAATATTATGATTTTGAAAAATACATTGTTGTATCGTTTACGAGATTATTAATGAAATACTATTATAGTTGATATTTTCTTGAAGGCACTCTTCTACTATCGGCAATCCATAGAATACCTATACTATGTTTGTAAACTATAAGCATTAGAAAAAAAGATAGAAATTAATGATAACTTAAATTTTGAATATTCTCTAAACTTTATTTTTCATTTCATTCTTTCTATTCATCTAGGTTGTTGCACCGATTCGTGAAACAAGCGCTCAAACTTTAAGCATTATTTGTAATCGTTTACACGGTCGACCTCAATGTTCATCGTTAATATCGATCCTGTTAAATTTACTCAAACACAATGGTACTTGGGAAATTCGACATGGCGCTCTACTTACACTCAAATACACATTCAACATTCTCAAAGTAAAAAAATAAAATTTACTCGCTTTATGATAGAAAACAATGAAACTTTAGGAAATACCCAACGATATACGAATCTCCTGTGTTCAAGCAGTACGACAATGTCTTCAAGACGAATCCGATGATGTTGTTTCAACTGCTGCAGCAACATTATTACCTCTTGTTACTCAATACGAATCTGTATGTTGCTGTTGATAATAATAGATAAAATTTAAAATCTTTATTTTTTAAATCAAGGTTGTTCTGGACTGTACATCTGGTTTAATCAGTGAACTTATTTTATTGCTTGATTCCATGGATGATCTTAATTCAGCAGCAAGCTCAATTATGAATCTTCTTGCTAAATTACTTGCATCGAATTCAGCAGAAAAGTAAGAAAAATCTATTCATTTATCGTGCTGATATTGTTTTTTTTATTTTAGATTTAAATTATCATTTGCCCAAGTTTTACCAAAAATTTTTCCATTTTGTCGCCATCATACATTACCATTTCGTTTAGCTGCAATTGAAACTGTTATGAAAATTATTGAAGCTAGTCAAGTAAAACAAACATAATTTTCTTGATGAAAAACATTTTTTTAAATAAATTCTAGTCTAAATTGAATACATGCACATCAGACGAACTATCGGTACTTGAACGTACATTTCGTCTGCTTTTCGAACGATCCATACTCGAATCTGATGATAAAATACTTGCATCAATCGAACAAGTAAGAAAATAGCCAAAAAAACACGTTCACAACTTCATATTTTCTCTATAATCTTCGATACATCATAGTTCGAATGAAAATAGTAATTTTTAATATTCAATAGAGTTTTCTATCTAATAAATTCCATATAGAAGATCTCATATATAAAGTATGATAGCAAAATTTTCCAAAGTCAATTGAACACAATTTCGAAGAATGCAACTATTTCTCTGTTTCTTAACATACGTCGACATTTTCGATTCGAATAACATCGCAATCAACTTCAGATAATATTCTGAGAACTTCTTTTTCAATAGATCATAATTCATCAATGAAGGCGTTGTGTAGCATAGATTAAAAAGAAAAATTCTATTGACTTTTAAAACTAATATTTAAATTTTAGTGTGATGTTTAATAGTAAATGAAAAATATAGTAGTTTAAAACTTTCTTATACTAACTTAAATACAAAACAAAATGATCCTTTCTAGGCATGGAATATTCTTTGTCAATCGAATCTTATAGTGCAATTATGTACATATTCTTCATATCAACGTTGGATTTGTTTAGCTGTTCATCCGGCTAAAGTACCAATTAGTCCAGCTTTGTTATCGAATGATGATCAAAATCCACAGGTAATTTTTTTTGTTTTCTATATTTTACTTTGATCTTTCTCTCTCTCTCTCTCTCTAGTCAGCATCAGTTATGGATCAGGATGATAGACGTTACTTAAGTTGTTCAACGACAAATAATCATCAGTATTTAGCTATGGGTTTCACTGTATGTCATCAAGAAGCTCCTTTGGAGCAAGATCGTGCTGTTATTAAATGTCGTCGTTTAGCAGCTCGATTACTTGGCCGATTATTTTCTGATTATGACCAGCAGCAATCAAATGATGTTTTAAATTATTTAAAAAATCTTAATTTTCGTTCAGCTGTACAGCGTATGGTTGCAGGAATGATTACTACTGAATGGGCTAAAGTAAATTGTTATTCTTATTTCATTGTATATATTTTTATCAGCTTTTTTATTTAAGAGCATGAACAATGTTTCAATACATGAAAATATTCTTCAAGAACATTTTCAAAAAGCATTAAATGAAACACTTTATTTTGATGAAATAGCTCCAGCATTTACTAAACTAAAACGTGATTTCACATCATTTATGCATGATTGTGCTAAACAACGATTATGTAATCCACAATCAATAGAAAGTATTGAGTAAGTTTTCTAGAAACAAAGTGACAATTATCCTATCGAGACACGTTCCTTTTGACGTCGATTATTTTATTATAACTTAGACGTTAAAATTTTGTGTAACTCGAAAAATAAATTAGATGAACTTCTCTGGGGTGTATTCGAAAGACAAACGAATACATTCTTTGTTCCAGTTCATACAATTTCTTTTTGCGAATAATTTCCATGTTTGATTTAATGATTATTTTCTTTGTAGACTTCATTCGGTGGATCATATTATAGAATTATGTGACAATGTTCATTCTAAAATTGATGCATTTCCTCAATTAAATGCACAAAAGCAAAATATTCGTGATGAAGCTCAACGAATACAAAACGAATCAGAAACTCTTGCACTTAGGTTAGAATTTTTACATGTATTAATAATTCCGATCAATTGGATTTATTGAAGTAGATTGAAATCTAATTTGAATCTATTTTATACTAATCGTATTATTCGATTCAGACACAGAAGTTGTCGGCAGAATGTTCAATAAAATGTTTACTATAGCGATAGTTATATTCCGACCGAGAATCTTGCAGGAAAGTCTGCAATACGCATTGATATTAGCGTTGCAGTTTTATTTGAACTTGATTATTTTCATCACTGCATTTGTGAGTTTAGTCAAACACAACACGCTAGGCTTGGAATTATATTAACATTTCGGTTTGCCATTTTTAATTTTATGATTTTAGTGATCCTAAAAAACTTTTTAGTTAAAAGCAAATGTTCTTTTATGGTAATATATATATATATATATAAGAGGGGGAGAGAATTTAGCAACTTTGAAGATATTTTCTTCAATATGTGCAACAATTCTATATGTATCTTTGGCAAAAATCTCCATCGGACTCTAAGTTTTTAGGAAAATCTTGCTTTTCTTTCAATTTCATTCTAGAAGTAATTTAGACTAAAGGTTTCTCTTATTCAGTGATTTGTATGAAAAACTTCAAGATTTTATAACTTTGAAATATGAATGTTGTCATCAAATAGAGATAGTTTAAGCACAATATTCTGAAACAATATTTGATCGCATGTCTAAGATTTTAGAAGACTAAAAAACACTTAGATTTATAAAAAAAAATCGAATAATTTCAGAAAATTCATTGAAACATAACTTATCATCATAATCATAATATGGTATTTGAATAATTTTTTAAGTCAGCTAGGATTCATCAAAAGTCATGCTCGACGACATATTCATATGATATCTGATTAGAGATTCATCTCTGACGTATTTTCGATTAACAAAATATTGTTCATTTTATGTAGATCAACGGCTTATCTAGCATCAGCTTGTGTTTATTGGCACTTTCTTGGGGATCAACTAAATCCTCTTATTCGACCATTAATGGATACACTAAAAAAAGAGTCAGATCCACAAATTCAAGTAAGATACTATTAGCTGTTCCAATAGAAGGAAACTTAAAGAAAGCTTGCATTTTAAGATTGTGAGACTTATCAATTTATGTTTAGCAAAATATTTTTCATTTGAATTTCTTAGCACGCTTTAAATTACTAATCTAATTTCGAGCTTTCTACATATTAAATATTTCATTCATACTATATGTCTAAATCTCATGTAATTCGTGTGTTTTTGTTTTGTTTTTAGAATGATATAGCTCAAGCTGTTGCAAATCTTATTTGGCAGTGTTCACAGCGAACAGCAAGTCCTAATCCCAATAGTAAAATTATCAAAAATCTATGCAGTTATGTGTGTGCTGATTCAGACGAGACGCCTCGTATTACGAATCCTTCAGGTTTTACAGGTTCAATATTTTTTTATGTAATATTAGATTTATTTTATTTATTGTCATGCAATAGAATCCAGTGAAACACCAGCTCACGTTAATGAAGAATATAGTTGTACTGTTCTCAAGGGAATTTATACGTGGCAAAAAACAAACAGTGTAAAACTTAAACTAAAACATTTTTCTTGTTCAAATCAAAGTATCTTTATTTCGGCAAATCTAGGATGATACAACCAGACCTCCTCTAAATCGTGATTCATCAAGTGGCTCAACACCTACACCTTCCTCGAATAGTTCAGCTACAAAAAAATTTGTAAGCTAACTCAAATGATGAGAATTTTCTTTGTCAACAAGATGTTTTCATAAAATAGAATCAAGAAGCTCTTTTAACCAATTCTCATACAATAAATATGTAACTTTTATGAAATGACATAAATATTGACCAAGACTTCCACTACATAAGATTTCATTTGCCAATCGTGCAAATCCACAATAAAATTCTAAAACCTAAACAGGAATTTTTCTAGAAAAATCATCAAAGTATAAAAATGTTCCTCTCGAATATCCTTCAGTTTCCTAAAATATGTTGTGAATTACAGAGCTTCCTCTTGTAAATCAATGAACAGATCAAACATCAATATTCGATAGTATAAATTCGCGTGGACATGTTAAAATGATAGTAAAAAAGTTTGAAAATTTCACAAGAGACTTATTCATTCTACAGTATCAATCCTAATCCTAAGATACTTTACCCTATTCATAATGGATTCAGTGTTATTTGTTAATGACATTTTTCTTAATTAAATTTGATTAGATTTTCTCATATCTATTTTATTTTCTTATTAGAATTTTGACACACCAAATACTAATGATTGTTCAAGATACGGGGGTGAATGTGCTCTATCTGCTATTTGTCATCGATTTGGTACTGAACTTGAATCAACATTATCAGATTTGTATGATCGAACAGTAATAGATATTGAACAATTTAACGACGGTTTGCTCATGTTTTTTTCTTATGAATTAAATTAAATTTTTTCTTATTTTCTTAAGATTTATGTCAAACACAATCAACAAATGATGCTCAACATTTAGCAGATACAATTCTAATTCTTTCAACACTTATTCCACATGTTCATGAAACTGTTTTAAATAAAGTAAATCATCGGTTACATTCGATTTGTTTTTAATACTAGTTTAAAAATTTTTTAGTATCTCCTTTTTTTACCTAATTTATCTCGTTGTTTATCATCTAAATATACAGTCATACGGTTTTTAACTGCTCGTTGTATCGGTATTTTATCTATGCATAAGACTGAGTATGTACTTCAATTTATTATTGATTCTATTCTGCCAAAATTAGCAAATACAAATATGGATACGAATTATTTACAGGGACCCATTGAAACTTTATACCGTAAGAAGAAAATTTCTCTTGTTTAAAATTTATTCTTTCTTTTTGTTTGTTTGCATTAGATATTATTGATAAACAAGCACTTAATATTGTTCCATATGCAAAAAATTTGATGCTACCTTGTATTCAATCTATGACACATCAAGATTGGTATATAAGATCAATAGCTAGTAATTGTTTTGCCGTTCTTATCAAATACTATGCACTATATGTAAGAATGATTTGAAAGAGTGTAATAATTGAAGAAAAACACAACAATATTATATAATTTAGAATGATGATAAAAGTATTGAACACACAAATGGTAGAGAAAATGAAAATTTTCTTGAACAACTTTTCGATAATACAAAAATGCCTGCTTATCATTTACCAATGCCAGTTAAAGCAGATATACGGCCATATCAACATGTAAGCAATTACTTAGTAGTGATGCGAACTAATTCGATGTCTACTCAATGCATACTGATAATTGCTTGTTCATCAAATCATTAGTCTACGATATAACAATGGAAGAAAGCTAGATATGAGTCATATTTTTTACATCATTCATTTATGAAACCTCTTTTTGAAAGCAAATAAAGTTCATTAAATAGATGAAGAGGCGAACTCTAACAATGAGAATATTTCAAATTTGTTTTTATTATACTTCAATGTTGTTATTCACTTGATTTTAATGAAACCATATTATATCTAATAGGATGGAATCAATTGGTTAATGTTTCTTAAACGATACAATTTATCTTGTGTTCTTGCTGATGACATGGGTTTAGGAAAAGTCAGATTGTTTTATTATTCATTTCATTTCATATATTTTTCCTTTTCAACTAGACACTGCAAACAATTTGTGTTCTTGCTGCTGATATTGTTGAACGAAGAAAAGAAGTCTGTAGAAATACGAAATAAACTATTAGAATTTAATTAAAACATTCTATTTATATTTATTAGAATTTTGAAATTCGTCCATCACTTGTTGTGTCACCACCAACATTAACGCGACATTGGACAAGCGAAATGAATAAATTTATTGGTGAAGATATACTTCGACCTTTACTCTATTCTGGAAAAAATTTAGCTGAACGTGAAGGGTTTGCAATTCACTAACATTTTTGATTCTGTTTTTTTTATTCATATTTTTTAATATTTAGATTAAGAGTTAAATATCGTCAAAATCCGAAAGAATATACAGTTATTGTTGCTTCATACGATGTTGTTCGTAGTGATATCGCATTTTTTTCGTAAGAACATCTTCGAAATTTTAAGTTTTACTTTCTATATTGTAATTTTTCATAGAACAATTCCATTTAATTATTGCGTACTTGATGAAGGACATGTGATTCGAAATTCTAAAACAAAATTATCCAAAGCTATTCGTCAGATCTCAGCAGGTTTATTCTATAAAAAAAAACATTCTTGTCGTGAATGAAAACAATCATTGTTATTTTGTTGCAGCCCATCGTCTTATACTATCGGGTACACCTATACAAAATAATGCACTTGAACTTTGGAAATTATTTGATTTTCTAATGCCGGGTTATTTGGGATCAGAAAAACAATTTATTCGTCGCTATCAAAAACCATTACTAGCATCAAGTCGTGATCGTGACCTTGAACATGGTAAGGAAAAAATAATTTTTATTTAATAAAAAGAGAAACGAATTTTGATTTTTTAAATTTATCTAGGACAATTAGCAATGGATGTTTTGCATAAGCAAGTTAAGCCATTCATGTTACGTCGTTTGAAGTCAGATGTATTAGATGATTTACCACCAAAGATTTTGCAAGATTATTATTGTGACTTAAGCTCAATTCAGTGTATGCTCTATGAAGATTTTGCTAATAAAACGAAAGAACAAGTTAAATATGCTACTGATGAAGATTCACAAAGTTCTAATGGAAGTGTTGCCACAGGACATGTATTTAAAGTAAGTGATGATGTGAGAAATAACTTAATCATGATAAAATCTTCGTTTTTTTTTATGTTAGGCATTACAATATTTACGTAAACTATGCAATCATCCATCATTGATTTTAACACCTGAACATCCTAAATGGTTCAATGTACAGAATGAATTAAGAGAATCACAAATCACTCTAAATGATATTCTATTATCAGGCAAATTACTCGCTCTTAAGTAAGTGAATATTAAGTTTAATTCTTTTTTTTTAAATATCATCTCTTTTATCATTGACAGAGAATTATTAATTGAATGCGGTATTGGAGTATCAAGAGATTCTGTTGTATCAGCGCATCGTGCATTGGTTTTTTGTCAAATGAAAGTGATGATTGATGTTATTATTAATCAAGTTCTTGGGTAAATTTTTGATATTAACTGTTTTTTGTTTTGTGAAACACATTATAAACTACCTGTTGAAGTTACTATACCTGAAACCTTAGCAAATTTTCACTGGTCATGATTGTTACATTTTTTTTTTGATAAAAGATCAAATACTCCTTGAATCTGTAAGAATAGCTTAATTGTGTTTCACATTTGAATTCAATAGGGATTATTTTAACAGGTTTATTTATCTTTTGTTTTTGTTTTAGAACGATGGATAATGTTAGTTTCCTTCGTTTGGACAGTTCAATGAATACAGCTGATCGTTTTAATACAGTTAATTTATTTAATTCAGATCCAAGTATAGATCTATTGTTACTTACGACACATGTTGGTGGTCTTGGTTTGAATTTAACTGGTGCTGATACAGTTATATTTGTTGAACATGATTGGAATCCAAGTAAAGATCTTCAAGCTATGGATCGTGCACATCGTATTGGACAAAAGAAAGTTGTTAATGTTTATCGATTAATAACAAGAAATACAATTGAAGAAAAAATTATGAAGTTTGTATTTTTTACTATTTCGTTGCTCTTTTTTTTTTATTCTTAATTATTTTATTTGTTTTAGTCTTCAACGATTTAAAACAAATTTAGCTGATACGGTATTGGGATCAGATAATAATTCGTCTAGTTTACTTACTTTAGAGAAGGATACAAATTTAATTGATCTTATATCGTTAGGAGATGAAGCAAAAGGACAATCATTAGTAACAGATAATTCTTCGAAAAAATCTAATTCAAATAAAAAACAGACATTGAAATCGATGCTTGATACATTCTCTGAACAAGTTGATAACGACGAAGATTGCTATAATGATGAATACAATGTGAACAAATTCATTCAACAGCATTAATGCGAAAAAGATATAAAAAATCTCGTGATACGAATATAAATTGTGAATCACCAATTATTGTTCTGTTTGTCTGTGTTGTCTTCTTTTCTGTTCAAGTAAATAAACATACTTTCAAGATATATTATATATATATATATAAAGGTATACTTGTCTTTAAACCAATTTATTTCTTAAACTATAATTAAAAAAAGATATTTGAAAATAAACTAGAAAACTTGCAATCCTCTATTAATCATTTTTATTATGCATCTTACGATATTTCATAATATTCATGGGCAATTCATTGATTTACTTGTAGAATGAAGCTATAAATCACAAGATCTATGACACGTCGGTAATATTAATTAATTTGGTAAAATGATATGAGTTTGTGTCGTTTCATGAAAAGAAGTCTACTCATTTTCATGAACAGTATTTATCTAACCAAAATTAAATAGATATCAGTAATCATTATAATAGTAGCATAACAACAATACAATTATGGATAGGAAAGAGAAGCATAAGATACATAAGTTTTGTTGGAAACATAAATTAACATTCTGAAATTTCTCAGATCGTCATTTTCCCCCTAAACATCTTGTAGCCATTCAAATGATATTATGACAAAAATGAAGATACATCAAACTGTCTATTTCTTTTCTCATATAATACTAAAATTTCGACAACAATATGATTTTATTTTTATATATGTGCATGTTACTTTAATAGATATCTATGAGAGAAAATTCATGAGAAGTTACTATTGGTCAATTACTAGTGACACCGAAAATTAGAGCTTGTTGCTATAACTTCAATAGCATGATAAAAGGGTCACTTGCATTAAGTAAATCTCATAGATCAAGCAGATAAAAAATAAAAATAAAACTTAATACGAAGTATACTCCTAAAAATTTGTTTTAATATCATTTGTAAGGACAAGAAATAATAGAACTGTTTTGTAATAAAAATCATGGTACTGATATATTTTCTAGAAAAATGATGCAAACATACTTTCATCAGTAATCAATGCGAAACTATATGCTACAAGTGATTAATGAAAGTGGACTGGGCTAATTTCATTTTATCTTATGAGCTTCAATGGGGAAAAAATATATGTAATAGTTTTACGACCTTTACTACAACATCAAAAGATAATTAGAGCAAAATTATCAAGAATATTCTTAGAGATTGCAACCTAATTCCCGGAGACGACATTTTAAGCAGAAAAACAAAAGTTATAGCTAATTGATTATTATTCTTCCTAATAGCCCACACCCATCCGTTTGATATTTTTCAAAGAATATCAATGAAGAATAAAATTTTCATAAACTAGCTAACATGCAAGAATACAGATTGAAAATTTAATTTTAGTTCTATCGATTATAAAGATTCTAATCTTTCTATGCCGATGATCTATGAATATTTCACGAACTTCTTTTAGTAATAAAAGAAAAACAAATCCTGATGACATTTTCTATGAAATACCTAGTTAACATAATAATAGAAGAATGCTAGTGATCATGAACCACGACGAATAAAGTTCATTCTCTGAAAGTTAATTGAAATTGCTATTGGCAGCTTCTTTCTTTTTATAAATATTCAAAGAATAATTCTCTAGTCTATGTTTATAACATTACAAATACTAGTAGGCAATCGATCAGAAAACAACAACATTTGAATAATCAATGCATCATCATGCATCTATTTTTTTATACGCAACTATTCCATTATTATTCTACGAAGAAATAGACTGACGTCAGAGCCTCTCGATTGTGAAATTTACATCGAACAATAATACTATTATCCTTGTTTAAAATTACTAGCAAAAAGCTTAGAATTAACGTCGAATATTTTCACTGAGAAATAAATTTATTAAGCGATGCGCAATTCTCAATAATAAATGAATATTAATATTTATTTCAACAAAAGTCTAAAAGTCTGATGCTCTCATTTTATATAATCTTAAAGGTATGAAACGCTAATAAATTTAGTTAATGACTTCCAGACAACAAAGACTTATATTTCTTGTGTATGTATAAACAGATGCCAAACGAGTTCTTCAGAACAGAAAACAAGATTATTAAATCTTGATAGAGGTTTATTGTTTCTAAGACTTCTTTTGTTCTATGTGAAGAAAAAAACCTAATTACTGGCATATTCGTATGTTTTCTGCTGTCTACATAATTGATTTGCTCGTACCAACATCATTAGCGTTGACATAAAGGAATTTCATCATTGAAAAATTGTTTATTATGCTTTAAAATTTTATTCCTAAAGAAAACATGTACAACAATAACAATTTTAATCATGAAAAGAAACTTTTTATTTAAAAGCGTTCCAAGAATAGACTGATCAATTTACAAGTGAGAAATAATATTCTATTAGCTGGTGTCAGAAGCCGCATATGTAATATAAAGCTATGATAAATTCCTTTCAATTCATAATGTATTCCAATATACTATTTTATTTCTCTTATAGTATTTTATTTGAACGAATAAAGTTGAACAATTTCGTAGAAAATGTTTCATACAAAATATACTTGTTGTCTGCTCAGTGTTATTTTCACAGCCTCGATCCATTTTCTAGTGTCCTATCTACGTTTCTTTTAGTACAAAATTAATTCTATGCATGAAAATCATTGATAATCCACTAATGCGATGCATAGTTAATCTTAGATTCTACATAATGGCGTAAATAAATTGTACAAGCGTCTTCAATGATTTTCTTTTATTTGATTACATCTATCAGAAAAACTTTATAAATCTCTCAGGGAATGTATTTCAGAGAAAACATTCATAAAAATTGATTATGCGATGGTTAAATTAAGCTAAAAATAGTGATAAAACTATCATTCAATGGCTACAGGAATTACTTAAAGACACGGAGAGCACTAATATCGTACATCATAGAATATCTCTAATCATTCTTTGTAATATATTTTCTTGACACGATCGATAGTTGATCTATTATCATTCATTTTATAAATATTGTTTTTGAAAAATCATAGAATGATAGTAAAAATCAACAAATAAAACTATCCTCATTTAATTGATCTTATGAAATAGATAAAGAAATTAGGAGCAAAACTTGCTTCTAAATTGCTTACAAAATTTTTCTAAAATTCTCATTTCATGTATTCCTGTTGAACAAAATAATCGCTAAATGACGGATTAGACCTAAATTAGTTAATCCCATCCGTATGGCATTTCTTCAGAATGTATTTATTGGCGCTATAGCAAGTTTGAAAATATTATATCAAGATGTACGTTTTTAATTGGCACCAGATGTACATACACACTACTAATATAATATATATTAATTGAAACTTTTGTAATTTATGAACATAGAATCAAATCAAATTATTAACGTTTATAAATCTTCTTTGAAAATAAACAAGTTCGCATATAATTACTACTCGTTCATTCTATGTTTATTTCAATCAATTGTATTATAAATACCGTCTGGCGAATACTGGTACAAACAATAGACAATGAAAAATATAGATCACAAAAAAAGCAAAATTATTGCGAAGACACATAATTTAAAAAAACAGGTTGAGCTGTGAATATATATATATATATATATATATATATATATATAAATAAAAGAAGAGTTCAAAAAACGACTGATCAGAAATATTTCGTTACACTTCATTTTTCAGTCACAATGAGATTAACTGTAATCGGTTGATAAAAACAAGAGATGTATCAGCATACAACTTTAATATAACTACACACGTATTAATTAACAGTTAACGATGTTCTTGAAAAGGCAATGAAACGATGGTGCATTATCTATTTACGACTATTGTGCTGGAGAATTGAGTGAAGTACGTTTTTGATTGGGTATTGTTCCTGTGGTAACGTTATTGGCAGAAGTATCTTCAGCTTGATCGACTAAAAGTGATATTGAATGAATTGGCATAGATGATAATTCATGACTAGAATAATTCATTGTATCATTTGCTGCTTTATTATTAATTGCTTCTTCATACGATGGTGGAATATCTATATTGAAAAGAGACAAAGCTTTAAATATATTATTAATCACTTAACAAAATTAGGTTAAATGAGACAAAGAAAAAAGAAAGAATAAATTAACAATTCTTGTTCTATCCAAACAAGAAGTATAAAAGATAAAGATAAATATTTACCTCTCGGGTGCAAAACACTCTGTTCATAGCTAGGTAAGCCTATATGGAATGAACCGGAATACCGATGAAAATCTCTAGGAAACGATGGGATACATAATAATTCTATCAGCGTAGAGTGTATAAAGACATACCCACTATTCATATTTGCAAAACTAATTGTACCAGAATTTTGAGCATAAAATCTTGCTTGCTGAAGAAAAGAAAACAGAAAAGAAAAGAATCAACACTATTAAGTGAACAAGAATTGCAATGAAGTTATACCCGTATTCGTTGAGCGTTCAGTTTTCGTAATGCAGTTAAGATCTTCTCAGCTGATATCCAATACATAAAAGCAAATATAATACCAATACCACTAAATAAAAACAAACAAAATTCGATCATTTCGATTGTTTATGGTTTTCACAAAATCAATACCCGAAAACAATAAAAGAAACAGAAAATCTTTGTTTTTCGTATGTGGCAAGTAGAGAACCGGCAACAAGCAATAAAATACCGAAAACTAAACATAATAAAAAACGATGCAATTTCAAATAGTTTCTATCTTAACAAAACAAACTTAGAAAAATAACTGCAGATATTTTTCTTTTTCGTGCAATACTTTCAATTCGAGCATTAGGTGTAGCATGTGGATTTGCAGAATTAGATGTTGCCATTATAATATGAATTGCATTCATGTTGAATTTTTAAAATTTTTTTATTTACATTCTAAAAAATAAACACATACGAAATTTAATCGCACATTGATTCATGTCTAGACAACAGTTTTATGTTTATACATATAGTTTAGGTCAACCGAGAAATCGTTATAGAACAACCTATCACATAATAAAATCTATTGGTCCAATTTATTTAACCAATGAAAAACGACATCTGTTAGGTTATTGTTGTTTGTTATTCATTGATAATCAGCTCATTCAGTTCTAATCAATGTCAGGCAGTGGTACTGAACGCTCAAATTTTCGTGGCAATCGTCCATTATCGTCAAATCCACCACATTCAATATGTGTGACAGATCGAAAAGTTGTTTCATTTACACATCTATGGACAATTGATCATTTTCAGTCATATTTAGGTTGATTACTTTCTTTTTGCGTCTTGTTTTTTTTTCCAATAATTCAATTTTATAACATAGATGATCCACAATCACCACGTGTTCTTTTCAGTTCTTATTTTTCTCCAAATTTTGGTCCACATACTGATACAAGGTTAACTAATTTTTATCTAATCTATTTCACTATAAATTATTTATTTATTTATTTATTTATATTTTCAGTTGGTGTTTGAAACTTTATCCAAAAGGTGTTAATGAAAAATCAGTAGAATATATAAGTTTATTTGTTAAATATGTGCGTGGTCGTTCAGATTTACAAGCTAAAGCTGAATTTTCATTGATAAATAGTCGTGGAGAATTTCACATCGTACGTAAAACTCCCTATCATATATTTCCAACTGGTGGTGATTGGGGTTATTCAGAATATCTAATGCGTATGGTTTTAACTACGCAACGTAAATCTGAATTATTAAATGCCGATCAAAGTTTAAAAATATTTACACGCGTTATTATTGTTGGTGAATCGTCATCATCAATCATACACGAAGAGAAAAAAAATACATATGAAAGTTTAATTTCATTATCATCACATTTCAGTTCACTGTTAACATCAACTAAGGATAATTGTCATGATGTTACTATTATTGTACGTCCACAGCAATATAATGGTTTAACATATGAAAATAAATCACATGATACTCCATCATCATCATCAACATCTTCGTCACCAACTGATGTAGGAAAATCATCATCATCATCATCAAAAAGAAGTAACAATAATAATAACAGCTCCGGTACGGGTAATCATCGAACAAAACGCAAACGATATAGTACAAACTCAGGTGGAAGTAGTGGTGCAGGAGAATCATCAGGAGAAACTAATCATGATGAAACAACTTCAACAGCATTAGCTATTTCGTCCACACCAACATCAACAACATTTTATGCTCATCGGAGTATATTAAGTGTAAGTGCCAAAATAGCCATATAATCGTTTGTTTTGTCTTCTGTTTACTTATTTATTAGTTAGAAAAGATTGCTCATTAGAGTATGTTGAGTGGTAGTTCCATTTATTAAGATTTCAATCAACGTTTAGAGAGTAAATTGAAAATATTACATTCAATGATGTAATTATTTTTCTAATCATAAGATACGAAAACAATTGAGCGGAAATATATCTGATGAAAGTAAAATATTAAGAAATCAATTGTGCTTAATACTATATCTCTTATGTGCAATGGAGTTCTTCGAGTAGAACTTTCAAACAAACCCTATTGACCATACGATTTATTGGTCGCATTATAGGCTAATAATATCATGAAAATATCATAACTAAATAGATGCAAATAATATACGGATCAACTATTGTAGAATTCATGCCTATGTACATTTAATTCTATTAATTAATAATCGATATATAGAAAGATGAAGATTAAGTTAGACATATTCTACATAAAAGATTAATACAAATAAAAATAGTACTTAACTCGGATTTAAATATTTATTTTAGGTTCGTAGTCCTGTATTTGCTGCTATGTTTTCTCATTCAATGCTTGAAGATCAAAATTCTACAATTGAAATAACAGATCTACAGCCAGAAACTGTTCGTGCTTTACTTGAATATATTTATACATCGAATGTTGAAGAAATCGACGAACATAATGCTGTAGAAATATTTAAAGCAGCTGATAAATATGAATTAGAATTATTAAAACAAAAGGCTGAATTAATCATGATGAATTCATTATCTGTATCAAATTGTACAATGCTTTACATAGTGGCTGATTTACATAATGCGAATGAATTAAAAAAACGGGTTTTAAATTTTATCATGCGCAATATACTTGAAGTAACTGAAAGTGATGATTGGCGTATATTAGTCGAACAACATCCTGCATTAGCGACAGAAGCATTTGTTTATTCGGCCGAACATGCTGCATCATGTGCTTGTTCTTCTTAAAAATAAATATTATTCCTTTTTTGTCTTCTCATCTCTTTCTTTTTCTTTTTGTTTGTTTTATCATGTGTATATAAATAAAAACTATTTGTGTACATGTACGTTTTAGATGTCAGCATCACATTCCCATCAAGGTGGAGCAAGAGGAGGAAAAGATCAATTCAAGTATGACAATAGTTTTTTTTTCTGTTATGCCGCATTTATTTTGATCATATTTATTTAGTTGGAATTCAGTTAAATCAGATAAAGATCGAGAATGTTATCTAGGACATTCAGTTATGGCACCAACTGGTCGATGGCAAGAAGGTAAAGATTTAACATGGTAAATATAATTAAAATAAACTAATTGAAAAAACTTAGTGAAAACTATTACAATGATTAAGGTATGCAAAAAATCGTGAACAAGAGCAGCAAATAAAATCAGCAGAATTTCGAGCAGCCAAAAAAATTGAAGAAGACGCATTGATGACAGCATTAGGAATTAAAGTGATGCCTCCGCCGCCGCCACCACCACCACCCTCAAGTTTGTTGTCAGCTGTTTTTATCACTTGACATTGATTTTTCATTTTTGTTTAGCTTTTTCTACTTCAACACAACATAAATCGTCCATTAAACGGGAAACAACATCAATTAAAAATGAACCGATGACACCATCCATACATAATGATTCTCGTGATTTAAAACAGCATCATCATGGTATAGGACATGATAATCAACGAAAAGAAGATCGAAGACGGCGAAGACAACTAAAAGCAACTGGTTCTGATGAAGAAAAGCATGATTGGTCAGATAATGACGAAGAAGATTTAGAAGACAATGAAGATGGCGATAAAAGTTTGTTTATTTTGTTTTGTATTTCATTAAAATCAATTAATTATACATTGATTTCAGCAAAACAATCGTTGCAACAAAATGTGATGACTGAAAAAGAATTAGATGACTTTCTTATTGATCTTGTGAAGAAACATGGTTTCAAAACACTGAAACGAACATTTAAAACAAAAAAGTAAGCTTCTTTTCTCAAAAACGTTACTTTCGTATTGTCATTTTATTTCTATCCAGAGATAAAAAAGAACACAAACATCAACATTCATCATCGTCGTCATCAGATTCTGAGCCAGATTCAAAACGTAAACATAAGAAAACACATCGTCGTAAAGAAGAAAAAGCTGAATCTAAAAAACGTCATCGGACTCAATCATCTTCTCCATCGGCATCATCGAAAACTGGCAGTTCTAAACATGATCGAAATCGATAAAAAAAAAACATTTTTGTTTTGTATAGTTCAAGTTATGTTTTCATTTATTAAAAAGTAAAGAAAAACAAAAAAAAATAGATTTAAATCTCAAAATGTTTGTTGCAGATATGTTGTGTCGATTGTTTTCGACTGTATCCTATTCTGGTTACATTCAACGATCATTGATCGTATGTCAACCTTTACGTTTACATTCGACAAAAAATGCAACTGATAATGATTTTAAAAAATCACCTACAAAAAGTAAAACTCCCATTGGTAAATTAGATGAATATTCACATCCAGATGTCGAAAAATATCCATTAAAACCATGGCCAAATAATATAAATCCCACAACTGGTGAAGTCAATGGTCCACGTGGACCGGAACCAACACGATATGGTGATTGGGAACGAAAAGGCAAATGCGTGGATTTTTAGAAGTTCTTTATTATATGAAATTTGCCTCATTTTTCTCTTTATTAATAAATATATGAAAAAAGACTAACTGGTGTAGAAATGAACATTAAACGATTATTTCGTTGTTTATTCGCTTATAGACAGTACAAGTATATTTTAGTCAATAATGTGTCTGATAATCAAAAGAAAATCAATTATTATTATTTTATCTTCATCCTTAGTCATTTTTTGAAAGTTGTGGATACCTTCGAATCTGCAAAAATAATATAGATCAGGCTTAAAAATGACTAATAGATGATCAATTATTGTGAACTAATCTTTTTTTTTGTCATTTCATAGGGAAGTTTTCTTTTACAAATTGAGTCTTAAAATTAAAACCAAAGTTACTATGAGTATCTACATTCATAGAAAGACTGTATTTCAATAAGAGTAAAACAAATGCCGCCTATGATGGATACTCTTAGTTGTTACATGTACCATTGAAAATCCAGAATATTGTCCAGGTCTTTATTTAGAAAATTGAATGGCGCATAGATTAAATTAATTTTCTATGAGAACAATAAGATTTCTCAAAGGAAATATATATTGAATTAATAAAAATTTTCTTATGTGAATTATAAAGAAAATATCTCTGATGATCTAGGGGGTGACCTCTTTTTTAGTTAAATATCAATATAATGCTTAGTTACAATTTTTTTTGTCACAATTCTGATATAAAATTATGGACTCGGTTATTTTTTTATTCTAGGATAGCAAATAGATTCGCACTCACATTCCACCCTCAATTATGTTCAGATTAAAGTGCCATCTAGATGCTAATAATATTTTATTTAAAAAACAACAATAAATGATAATGACAAGTATTTTCACACGAAAGAACATTTTTTAAGAATGAAATTTCGTTGACCATATGTTAGTATGTATTTCTTTACGTCCGAGATTAGACATCACTATTTCAATCGAACACGTAGTACGAAAAGATAAAATTTCTTTTATAGACTAAGCCGAACGTTTTGAAGAAATTTCTCTTATCTCAAAAACATGATATCCATCATCAGTGTATGGTAGACTAGTGCATCCATTGAAGTCTTCGATTACAATGAAGTGTAAAATTATATCACGAAGATCTCGTATTTTAAGAAATTTCTACTCCATCTCACACTATCTTCAATAGATAGATTATTGAGTGCATTTCATTTCATTTTCTGAAACTTGTATTATTACTATTTTCTAATGATCACAATTGTGTCTAACAAAATTTAATTCATTTCCTTTACGATTACTGACACTAAAATCATTTTTTGGAAAAAAAAATAACTGAAGCATGCATTCATAAAAAATAAAATGTTATATTGAAATCAAGTTTATTGTTGAGACTGATAAGAACAGATACAAATTGAGATATGATTCCAGAGAGGGAGAGAAAAAATAACGAGTTCATTTTAGTTTGATTAACGTGTACTTTCAACTGTTGAATTAACTGAGCCAGCAACTGAACATGTTGAGCTTGTGGGTGATGATGCTTTAAGATCATCTGTATTGATAACATTCTTCACCGAACTATGATTATGATCACCAGAATCAAGTGTACCAGCCTTTCCGTTGCTAATAGCAGCTTTATGTTCACGATATGGAGCAGTAATAATAAGTCGTTTACCATCATGAAGAAATGAACGCATATTTTCAACGTCAATATTCTAAATATAATAGAATACAATGAAGAATGACATTCCATTATTAAAATCTAATTCAACGATTCCGACACTCGAATACATGCTATTCCGACGGAAACAAGTCGTTTCCGACCATGAAACTTTTAAAATACAGAAGCAAGAGGCCAATAATTTTGAATTCTCTATTGCTTGTCTGAATTAGTCTTAGTGAGAAAAACTTGTCTACTGAATAATTACCACTGCTCAACTTGTAGTTTTTTTTACTTAAATTTTATCAACTTACAGGTGGTAATGTAACGGCTTTGTAAATATATGAACGAGCTGTATGATGTTTATCCGATGCACTTGATTCACCCTATAAATACTCAACAGATTAGTTTAAAAATAAAAAAGGGTGTGTTTTCTATTTACTTGAACAATCAAGTCATGATCTTTAAGATGAATTTGAATTTGATCTGGTCGAAAACCTGTCATATCTAATGATAAATCAATTTTCTTTCCTCCTTTTTCTGGATCATCAGAAACTTTTGGTTCGAATGCACTTTTAAAGAATTCATCAAAATTAAATTCTTTCAAATCGCCACCAAATTTTTGTAATTGATGATGATGATCGTCTAGTTAAAGAACAAAAAAAATTCTGTCCACTATCATTTGTAGAAAATATAAATATTTACCTCGTTCCTTTGTTTCTGTTATTAATGGAAATTCGACGACCAATGTACCTACGAATAAATAGATTTATAAAGAAAAATAACAAAACAAATCAGTAGAAACCTTTAGCTGTAAGAAACGATGTCATATGTTCAAGACTAGCATTTTCAGGTAATTCATATGTTTTACGCATTTCTCTAACTGAAAAGTCATCGCCTAAAATAAGAAGAAAACATATTTATATGAAAAATATTGCATTCATTATTTGAATTTTACCTTCACGAAATTCTTGTTTTCCATCAATCAATAATTTACGACCAACAACTTTCACGCTCAAATCTTCTGGTTTATAACCATTTACATCGAGTGTAACACGAAATTTATCAGTGTGAGCCCGTTTTTTATGACCAGTTACAGGACAAAGTTCGCGTTGAAGACGCGGTGGATCTTGTAACCATCTGAAAAATACGAAACTTTTATAATAGAAAATAAATTCATTTTTAATGCATACTGTAGAGCATTTTGCATGCGATGTGAAGCCAAATCAACTTCATCAAAAGGATCAAATAAGTCAAGTGATGGACCTATACGAAAAAATTCTTCTAATTAGAACACAGATCCAATAAATACAGTGACTAACCAAGAAAATTTTCAAAATCAAAAAGTTGTCGAGGAAAATGACCGACTGGTAAATGATGATGATCGCGTGTGCTGTGTAATTGTGACATGATACTTTAGTTTAAGACGACAGCAGTTACTTCGAATGAATATAAACACTGAATAAACTGATTAAAGCGCCTTTACACAAAACATCTTTCTCTTATTTCTATCGTTTTCTCTTTCACGTTCACAACCACCATTTTGACCAATAGTCAAAAGTTGTGAACAAATAAAACTGCGTAGTTTCTTATTGACATAGACAAAAGTGCACATCGAATTCACGACGGACTGTTCGAAGAAGTCTATGTCTTTCTATATTTGTAATCAGAGACAAACAAAAGAAATGTATGCAAAGAATGCATTCGAACAATCATATGTTTACATATAATAGTCGGCGGTTAATAATGAGGATAATACAGTACATGGCTTAGAACGATTAATGTACATAGTTCAACTGTCAAGGGCAACGCCTTTATTTAACAAAGGCATTTACAATATGTGCTATCATTTAACTATAGATTATTTGCAATTTATTGTTTGGACGATAAAATCTAAGAATTAATTTGTCTTGATCGACTTAAATCATTTGAATATCATAATTATTTCAATTACGTCGTAATTTTAGTGAAAATAAGTGATATAGATTTTTGAACCTTTGCTATTTAAGACAACATAAAAATAATTATGTTGTACTTATGAAACTATGGGAAATATTGGCCACAAATCACAAGCTTTTGAAAAATGAAGTTCCCTATGTTGTTATAGAAATTTTCTCTGTATTGAATTTACCTGAAAGCTCGAATTTACCGAGTTCGACATTTGAAATACGGTCTTATTCGAGTCAATATGGGTGGTAAGTGTCGTATCAAATGTATCCTGTTTCTGTTCAAACAAATACTGTATTTAATCATTGTTACAGAATTCAATTGGAACCAGAGATGTTCAACGCGACGAAATGAATTTGAGATAGTGTTAGATTTGGCGAGTTATTTGGTCTGCTTATGATGTAAATTTTTTCTCATTAAATATCATCGTAGTTGTAAAAATTAATTAGAATGAGTTCATAATGTATAACTATAAGTCATATGAATGAAACGGAAATCAAAGAATAGACAAAAATGCAGAAACTAATTTAGCATATAGTTTCCATAACATAAATTTAGATTTTATCTATTTTCGAGAGTTTTTCGAGTCTCTGACGAACAACACGTCCACTATTATTACTAGAGAACTGCTAGATCTATATACAAAGTCAACGGAATGATCTAACTAGATAATAGTATTGAAATTGAATGAAAAGAGAAAATATATCATTTCTATGTACAAATTTTGTTTTATTATTATTATTATTATTATTTCTTCATGATAATGTGCATTCGAACTAAATATTTTAAAAAATAGCTTATAAATTTCCATAGAATTCAAAGTTACTTAAATAATAATTATACTCTCAATTAAGTTTTCTTTAATTATAATTCATTTTCTGCATTCAATATATGCTCTTATTGATAATGCTTTATCCAATGCAGAGATATGATTATGTATGATGGAAAACACATGCTGTCATATTTTTGTCTATTCTTATTTTGACAAAATATAAGTAATATAGGAAGGAACGACGAAGTATAGATCAAATTATAACATTTTTTGAAACAGATATTATAGGAATGATAGATTGAATTTGATGTCAAATAATTATTTTTCTTTGTTGCCTTTTATCTTAGATAAAAATAAGAGAAAAATATCTAATTGGTTACCATAAGATATGATCACGATCAATGTTACAGAATGTTGATAAGAATATAAGCTGACATTCATCTTAAATCGTCAAAAAAAACATTTGTTTAATTCGCTTAATTTTTTGTCATATAGAAAATTTGATTATAACCTAAAGGATTGCGAAAGAACGAGAATTATATTTTCAGATTTATATTACTTAAATTGAAACATTAAGAAAAAAGTATATATTCGTTTTAAACTTGAACTGAAAATAAACTAGAAAAGTTCATAATATAGATTGACTTGATAAGAAGAAGAGGAAGAAATATTTCATATTCACAGATTAACAATATATTCTACTAAATACACTCAATTTTATATTAAAGGACATTTCCTTATTAATTATTACTATTTTTAAACATGAACGTTCTTATTTCTATTTAATTTAATTCATACAGAAAATTGATTTAATTCTTATCATATAACTTCAAATTACAAATCTGAAATAATGATATTTAGAAATTGTAAACCTTGCATTACGTCTTTTGTTTACTTGGTGCTAGATCTCAAGTGTCGAACTGATTTTCGATGTTAAAAAACTAAAGAAAAACTAGATTTTCTTACAGTTCTATTGCTTCATAGATAATTTTTCTATGTTTATCTTTCTTGATGGATTATCATGAAAATTCTACAAGTTCATGAATAATTTTATCCATTACAACTATTTAAATATTAACATTTACTTTTTCCACATATTATTTTTGTCGTGATTGACATAAATATTTATGAAAACGATGTTTCTTTTTTTCATTTTATATCCAACGGAAATGAAACAAATAAAAGATTGCTACGATTCATTTTTTCTACAAAGAAAGGCATTTATCCATAATTAACAATGATCATAATATCTATTTCTTTGATCATATTAGTTCTGATCTAATACATCATGCAATAAATAAATTTTGTTTTATATTGTTTTTCTTTCATTCGTTAAATTCAGGGTATGTTCTGTCAAAAGTTCATTATCATAAACATACAAGTGCCTTCAAGTTCGATACATTAATATTTCATGTCAAAATTAATTATAACTGCAACTTTTGAGATCGGTCTAGTTTACTCAACTATGAAATTATCCTTCCGGTTAGAAAAGTATTCTAAATCATAATCATAATAATTATTATTATTATTATTATTCAGTAAGATGGATAATAGAAAGACACAATATAGGTGAATTCTAACTTCATTTATATTCCGGATTTTTACACGATAATTATAGATAGACCTCAATCATAGTTAATATTATTTTCATGCTTTTGAAATAATCAGTATATAATTCTCTAGTGAAACATAAAACTGTCTTGTCTTCGAATAAAAATCACATCTAGCATTAGAAAAAAAACACACAGAAAGAAAAAAAGAAAAAAAGAAGAAAAGAAGACTGTGATATATACAAAGAACATGTAAAGCATTTTATAACAAAATAAGGAGAGAAAAATCGTAAAGACTTTATCGTCGCTGTCGTCTCATTGAATGTAAAGCGTGAAGCTCTTTTAAAGCACCTAAATTAGGTAGTTTCTTTTTCTCATGGTTACAATAACAAATTTTTTGAAAAGCCAGACGAAAATGTGCATTACATAATGGATATATTAATGGATTAAATGTTGAATTGAGATAACCAAGCCATATAGATGCTGTAAATATTTCGTCTGATACACAATCATTACACCAAGCGACAACTAAAAACAGAATAAAATATGGCAACCATGAAACAGTAAATACGCCAACGAGCATTCCCAGTTGTCTAGCTGCTTTAAGTTCTTTTTGTAATGAATGCGAGCGACTTGGATTAATAAGTGTAGTGAAAAAAGAAAAATTCATTTTAGTTGAACTATCGATAGGTGAACTTGTCGATGAATCATTTATTAATGTAGTTATGGAATCAGTGCCTGGTGTTGTTGTTGCAATTACTTTAGAAGAAGAGTTTGTTTTTTGTAAATCATCAACTGCTGTTGATATTTTCCTAGATATTAAAAAAAAAAGAATATATATACATGAATATATATATATATATATATTTTTGTTTTTCTTCTTCTTATCTTCTTTATGCTTACATAGTGGTATTTGGCATTGGTTTTAATTTTCGTTGATGTTCTATTGGATTAATAAATGTTGTTTCAGAAAATTCATCTGAAAAGCTTGATGCCATCGATGTTCTTGATGTTGATCGTTTAATTGGTGAGTTTTTTGATGTTGGTGATAATAACTTCTTCGAGTTTTTCTGTGCATATATAAGCATTGAATATTTCATACGACGTAATTCACGTGATGAATGTTTAGTTATTGTACTGTCATTATCGGATGTAAGTTTAGATAGGTCTAAATTTTTACGATCTTTATTTTCTTTTATGTGTCTTCTTGGTAAAAATATCATTGATAATGGTTTTATTTGAGCTAATGAAAAACGTTTGTGTATTGGCGAATAATGAGAATCTTTTGTTGGTGTTGGTTGAACTTTCCAAAGGCTATCATTATCATTTCCATTTCTGGGTTGGCAGGTCGAACAAAAACATTGGCCTGGCTCAATCGATTGTGTCAAATTATTATTAGCAGTTGTATTAATAGAAACAGATTGATAGTCAGGATTAGGTGGATTAAATGGATTGGAAAAAATTACTGGCGATAATAAGGACTTATTGGCATTAGGGAGTTTAAATGTAGCTTGATTTTCACTAGTTAATGATGATACTTTATAGATATGATCTTGTCTCATTTGTTTTTGTGTTGCTGATGATAATCGTCGACCAAATTCCATTTTTGAACGTGAACGTATAGCAACCATTATACGAAATGACACAATAATCATAGTTAATAGAGGAACATAAAAATTAACTAAAGCTGTCAATGTTTTAAATGTTTTATTAGAACGAAATGATGTATCACATTCGTTGCTTCGAATTATGTCGCTATATTGAGGAGCTACAGTTGACCAAAATATAACAGCCGGAGCCCATAATGATGATATAAACCAAACAAGTAAAATAAATATAGTTGCTCGTCGACGTGTACGTTTCTGTAGATATCGTAACGGATAAACAACAGCCCAATAACGATCAAGACTGAGCAAAACAAGATTAAATATGCTTGCAGTGCTAAAAAAAATAAGTTAAAAACAAAACAAAAATTTTATTGCAATTAAATTTATGATATAACTTTATATATATATTCATATAAGGTGCGTATCTATCTAAATATATTTTCTAACTACCTTGCAACATAATCAATGGATAGCCACATTTTGCATATAACAGATGAAAATGGCCATCGACCAGCAATTATGTTAGCTGCACTTAAAGGCATAACAAATAGACCAACAGATAAATCAGCTAATGCTAAACTGAGAATAAATAGATTTGATACTGTTCGTAAATTTTTTTCTGTTTGTATAGCATATAGTACTAAAATATTTCCGCATACAGTAAATATTGATAAACTAGAAAGGATACAGCCAAGGGTTATTCTTTGAAATAATTTCTCGACAAATATTGTCGATGTATTTGCGTCTGTAATGGAACTTTGAATCGTCTCATTCATACTCATTTATCAATATTTGATGTTTTGTGCTTGTTATCATTCAGATATCTGAATGAGTTGTAAGAATAACAATGATAATATTGAAATTAATATCTAATTATTGTCATTTATAAACTAATAAATAATGATGATAAATTGATATAAATATACTAAAACGAAAAAAAAAATCAAATCATGATAGTTTTCTTTTTTAAGTATCTCTTATTATTTTGATAATAATAAATCATCAACATTAGAAATCCTAGCAAAGCAAACAAATCTCAATCATTAGCTGATTTTACGGATTTCATTTGACATATATGTTAAACATAAACTGACATGTATGTTAGGAAGGAAGACAGAAAAATGGTCTTCTTACTTGCTGATTTTCGGTAAAATAAATAATAACACAGATCTTTCATTACGAAGTAACATGTGGCAAAAATGAATAGAAATATCTCTTCTTAACACAAGTTACATTATAATAGTGCTAAAATAGGTAACAACATTATACACTATTTGTCACAAAGCAAGAAAAAGAAAAAAATTAGTTTGTTGAAACCAAATAGGCCAGAACGAAACCAGTAGTCTACGTCAGTTGCATCATCATCATCATCATCATCATCATCATCATCATCATCATCATTCTATTGTTTTTCATTTCTTTTGATACTATTTTGTTGTCATTGTGTCATCTAGAAAATGGCATTAGAATCGAAGCCACCAACGGAGAAATGGGAAAAGAACGGTAGAAGAACTACAAAAGCAACTGATCATAAATAAGTATAAGAAAATATTTGACGCTAGGGAATGAGAGCATACGGTGACAAGCTCTATATCATGTTCTTTTTCTCCATTTCCGACCTCCATTGATATGTTTTGTTAGTTTGTGCTTTTGTGAAAGTCTCACTTCTACATATTTATACTATGAATGACATACGAACTTAGATCAGTTCTCAACATATTGAGACAATTTTACAATTCAAATTAAATCAGAATGAATCTAGAATTGAGATTCAAAATTAGTTAATACAGTTGACTGCAGTTAAGAGTTTGGATAACAGATGAGTTTCTCTTCACACTATAACAAACTCACTTATATTAATTATCTCTATATAAAATATTTATTTAATTTAAACTGTATCATGTGATTAGAAATATGATAAACTACTATTAATAACTTGGGATATATGACACAGAAAAAAGTATCTCAATAGTAATACCTATAGACACACACAAGTAAATTAAACAAAAGATATATCATAAAATAGTTTTTCATAAAAAAAAGAAATTTCCTGCTGAACTATCTATCATTCTAAATTGTGGCTATGTGTAGAAATAGGGACCGTTAGATCAAAATGATACGATATATAAACTCATTCAATATTATTAACGGTTTACTTGAGGAAAAAAATTAATTTGCAAAATGAAACAAAATACTCTGTAAGAGAATATGAAGTGTTAAAATGAATCGACAAAGTAAAATGATACAAAATAATCTATTGGGGTAATTGAGTTGTTTCTTTTCCATTTATTTTATTAGATTTGAAAACTAATGAAAGTTAATTATACATTGAGATGAACGAAGAAAGAAAACATAATCTTGACTTTATTTCTCTTTCTTCTTCAGTAAGACCGATCTAATTAATACTTTAAATTTTCTAATTGTCACTCTATTGAAAAGGAATAAAAAGATTCCTTTTCTTTAAAGGATTTTATGCTTTTCTTTGTATTATCATCATATAAAATAAACATCAAAAACATTTCTTAACAACTGACTAAAATCAACTTAGAAATAACAAACAGAAAAATGAAATGAAGTAAAAAATATATTCATCATGGAAATAAAATAACTGTGAAAAACAAGTCTTGAAGAATCTAAAACTACTTACATATTTGAAATGCATTCATGCAATCATTGAATGCCTCTTGTTTACTCTCTATACTTCCTGAGGATGAGTATGAATGAAGACTAAAAGACAGTATGACTCAGCTCAATCTCAAAAGATATTTATTGCAACTTTGTTCTGAACGTAGAAATTAGTCCTCAACATATCATTGCTAATTAAATAGATTTCTTTTTATCGCGATTCGATTTCTTCTTGTTGCAAATGTTTACTTAATGTTACGAATAGATGAGAAGTGCCATAATATGAGAAAAGTGAAGTAAAAAAAATCTCCCATATGGCGCATGCCAATCCATAAATAACTCTAAGAAGTACTTTCTTATTCAAATTTATGTATACTGGATACGAGTCAACACCATGTCTATATTATCAATCATAAAAACATTGGAGAAAACAGAATTAGGAACATATAAAATGATTACTAACTAAGAAAAATTATCCATTTGCAGATGATTCTTTTTTGTTGTTTGGTAACATACTATGAGAAACTCAATTTTGTTTTTTTGTGAATTTATTCCTTGATTGTTTGAGGTCAAAAAACGATGTTTTCTATATATTATACCTTACTATTTAATCAAGATGGATAGGTAGACTAAATGATGCATTATCACTATTAAATTCTAGTACAATTTTCTTAAATAATACAAGGCTACGTGAGAATTCTTTCCCTATTAAAAATCTAAAACATTTTTGTTTTATAATAGTCAGATTTGATTAGAAAATATCGACAGTCTTCTCGATCTAAAAATGTCTTGACTTCATGAAATTTGTGAATATACAGACATACTAACATATCGTGATGGAGAACGAAAGAGTATTTCAAATATCAAACAGAAAAAATGGCGAGAAAGGCGCAAGAAAATGAAAGAAATAAAAAACAAAATTGGCGTGTGCACAAATAATTGCAATAACAGAAATTAAAAAAAGAAAGAAAATTATAGAGAAAACAGAAACTTAAAAAAAATGACACATTTTTCTGATTACGTGACGGATACGGCAATATGACAGGCGATATTATAAAAAAGAAAAGGTTTGTTTCTACTAATCAATAAAAGTAACATGAAAGGGGTATAGCAAACTGGCGAAACAGTTGCTGTTGTGCAAATAACATGTCTACATTTCTCAATTTATTGTTGCTGTCACCGAATAATCTAACTCTCACTATTACTTTTTGATCATCATCATCATCGGGTAATTGAAGTGAAATCTTGTACATTCTGTTTCTTGTTTTCCTCATTAATCAGCAATAAAAAAAAAGTTATCTTCACAACATCATCTTTTTCTGTTTTCTTCTTATTCTTCTTATCGCTACATTCGTTTCATGTCACTTGTTACTACGTAGTAAAACCTAGTGATTATTCGATGATGATACACTAGAAATATATACACTCGTATAGGATGTGCACATCTCTAATCGCATTAGAATGCACGGAGAACAAGAAGGCAAAGCTGTTAGGAAAATAAAAGAGAAAGCTCTGTACTGATTGATCTAGTGCGGAACCTACACTTGCTATTCTCATGAAAAGTGACAGAATCATTTTGATGAAATTAAGCAGTAAACGACGCAAACTAAGGATTCTAAAGAAGAAAAAAGTAATTTTCTATGAACAGTACACCGTAAGTTTTTTTTATTTCTCTAGAATTTCAACAAATAGAAACATAAAACTTGGCTCGTCAATGATTTCATTGATAGTCATCTTTTATATGCAAAAAAAACATAGGGTCATCATCGTTTTTCTTTTCCTCTATTTGGCTTCAATCTACGTAATAATCATACAGACATATAAGCAATTGTTGTTTTCATGAGCAATATAATCAATTATCGAAAAACTTTGCCATTAACAAATTTACATATTACTGTATCAAATAAATGACAAAATAATACCAATTTGTTGTATTAGAAGCGGAAAAGAATTCGAAAGAAATATAGTAATTAATATTTATTAAATAATTCTTATCTGTCATTCTTAATGTTTGGAACCTGTTTTTTTCTTGCGCAGAAATTAACAAAAAAAAGGCTTAAAACTAGTAAGTTATTTTTAACAGTTGAGTCTAGTATTTGTTCAAGTGAGTAATAAGTAAGTAAAAAGATTGGTCTTTTTCTCTACGGGCATAATGGCGCTTGCTTGTCTCTTTTTTTCTCTTCAGTCCTATTAGATAATTAGTCAAAGAGATCATTCCTAATAGGCAGCTACACTCTCTCATCATAGAGAAGGAGCACCATTAGATTTGTAATATTTAGTTTTTCCTTAAGAAAAAAGAACTGAGACTAGTAAGGAGCTGATGAAATATTGATTAGCGATGTAGGAAGACTTTTGAGAAAAAGTCTGAACTCGACAGTTCTTTACGATGAGCATTTGCAGTAATGTAAACTATGAAAAGCGACAACCGAGTATTAATATTTTTCAATTACTTATGTGTTAGCCAACGAGAGTATCTTAGATTAGTATTTAACTGATCATCGTTCGTGATCAACTTTTATACACGGATGTATATATTAAGATGTTTTTGACAGCTACGACACTTAGAATTTCTTCTGATTTTGTTATTAGCAAAATTTCTACTATATAATACCGAATAGATTAGATACATTTAAACAGGATAGATTGCGAAAGGTGTTTTTTTTTCGATGAATATTTTCTGATAATCCTAAAATAATTCGAAACAGAAAAGTGTTTTTAAAATGAAGTGCAACTCATTAGCAATTATTTGCTTATCTAATGTAAATTGCTTTTGGGTGCTACTTTGCCATAGAACTGAGCATAGTGTTTGATCATGAACTGCTTCAGTCCATTTTATTTTCTGAGTGATAATAACACGAGAGAAGAAACTAACGTTCACATGTAGATTGTTTGTCAATGTCAACGCATGATTTTTTTTACGGCTATTCTAATTTATATAATGCTCACTGAAAATCAGATTAAAACGATTCCTAAGAATTATGAAGTCCTAACTCACTGATTTTTACGATCGTTTCAATCTTTCAGTTTTATCCTATCACAAAATATAAATGGATGTGCTAAAATAACGAACAAAACTAAGAGAAGAACGTCATATTCGAGTGTGCACTCAAGCATTATAGCTATAAGTAAGCCTAACACCCATTGTTGATAAGACACA